GTCCAATTCAGGCTGGGCGGTTGTCCCCCGGTCCTTGAGCTTACCACGAGCTGGCCGAGGCTCTCGACCTCGACCTCGACGACAGTGGGACTACGTCACCGAGGTTACTGAGCCACCGGAGGTGGACTTCCGGGAGGCTGTACACCAGCCTGGCTCGGCCAGGCCAGACGCGTCCTTTCAAGTCCTGGGAGGACGAAGGCATCTACCCTGCAGATCGAGTACCGACTTCTCCACCACCTGCTGACGAAGTCTTACACTCCTGCATCTGACAGCGCCGGCGCCATCACGAAGAGGCCCCTGTACTTCCTCCATTCGATCCGCCAGCGCCGCCATGCCTCTCCACCTGGGTTCGGTGGTGGCCAAGACATTCGAGAAGACGGCCACAGAGCTGAAGAGCCTCCACTGCGCCCCCCTCATCACCCGCCTGGTCACCTTCTTTGGCCTTCTCACTGCAGGTGTGCACCGAGGAGGGGGACACCCCTCATCTTTGGCAGCGCGGACGATCGGGAAGATGCTGCTGTTGCGAGAGAGGAACGGTGTTCAGTGGGTCGATGGATTTCCGGAGCCTTCCTATCCCCGCGGAGCCCGTTAACAGAGGAGGAGGCTGCCGATGAGGTGGATCCCGAGGAGGTGGATGCTGCTGCTGCTGCTGCTGATGATCCCCACAGACTTGACTTCCATTTCGGGGGTAGCAGCTCCACTTTCCAGGGCCAGGACTTACTTCGCCCAGCAGTTCGAGCAGCTGAGGATCCAGAACCAGCTGATCCTCGATCCAGCAGGATGCAGTTCCATCAGCAGTACTGCGGCCGATCCAGGCCGAGTACCGGACAGGATGGATGCTTATGACGGCGGCTGAACACGATCCAGACTCAGCAGGGCAGTGACTCTCGCCCACATCGAGCGGGAGGAAGCGCCGTTCCCGGCGCATGCAGGAGGTTCAGCAGCACCTGCTTCAGCTGATTCCGGGCGATCCACTGTCTGGAGGACTCCCTGGGATGACTCCCCTCCACATGACGGTGCTGCTGGCGCTGCTGATGATGATGCGTTCATGAACGACATCGACCTCGACGATCTTGGCGACGAGTAGGCTGTACTCGTTGCCCGTCTCAGTGTGTTTTTCTTTTTTCATTTTTAGACTTTTGTGTGTTTGCTCCATGTTGTGCGGAGCTTGAACTTAGTGTCGTGTTGTTTTTGTTTTTGGTTTTCCTTTGTGGTTTGATGTAGCCGTCTGGGCTAACACTTATCCCTAACGCACAGTGTGCTAGTGTGTTTCTGGTGTTCGATTTGTGCAGCATTTGTCCACTCTCCCCGTTCGTTTCTCGCTGACTGGTCCACTTCCAGTCCCCCAGCAGTGTTCTTACCCTCGGTAACCTCGTTCCCCTTATCTTTCCCTCTACTCCATTGAGGGCAATGTCGTGCTTAAGTGTGGGGGGATGCTTTGTATCGGTTGGAATATTTATGATGGTGCTTGGAGCCTAGTCCGCTGTCCGAATCTTACGATTTGAGGGCTCCAAGTACTGCTGTTTGATCATATTGGCACTGTGTTTTGATGGATGAATTGATTGGTTTTCGGATTAATGCATGACAACTTGTTTGCGACTAGGACAACCTATGATGAGGACTGAGATGTGCAGTAGAACGATGTAGGGGTTCAGTTTTTCGACTGTTTGCTTGCCAACTGTGACTTGATCTGACTTGATCTGATTACTTGTTCTTGACAGTCGTTTATGCATCTAGTTCAGGGTATCAGAATGTGAGATAGAGCATATAGGTAGCCATGTGAGATTTGAGCCTGCTCGTTTCTTTCTTGTGCGATAGATCCCTCTTCCATGATGTGTAGCATTCACGTTGTCACTAGCTAAGATGATGGGGGCATAGGATTAGCCCACGCCCAAAACTGACTGTCCTGATGTGTCATATCCCCTAGTCAGCCCCTTTGAGCCGTGTGTTATCCTTTCTTTGGTCTATAATGAAAAAATCACCCTTGTTGCATCTTTTAGAAGGTTCCACAGAGTGGTTTTTACATATTCTCTGCTGTTTCTGCTAAAGTCTATGTGAGTGTTGGAGGTAGTGCTTAAAAGTTGGGCAGGTGTTTGAAATTTATGCAGAAGTGGTGGCTCTCTTAAGAAATGAAAAGAAAAATGAAAGTAAAAACAAAGAAAAATTGAAAGCAAAAGAGAGCCACTACCAAAAATCTGAATAATGCCCAGTAAGTAGTGTTTCTAGCAGTCTGGCTTGGAAATGCTGATGTTTATGCCTCCTTCGCTCTTGTGCTCTTGAGATGTTGAGTAATGCAGAATAGCAGAAAGAAATACCGGTTTGTTTGACTGTGATTGTGTGTTTGGAAAATGTGGAACTTTTGCTATGAATACTTCCACCACCTAAAAGGCCTTTTCCCCATGTCCAAGACCCTAGCCAGTCATTTGAACCTGTGTCTAGACCTCCTGATTAGTTAGTGGTGACACCCCATATGTGAACTCTAGCATTTAGAGGCTGCCATCATGGTGAAGAGATGATAGGTATTGAGGAGTAATAGCATGCGCATCTTTCGCATCAAATTGTCCTGACCCCACTGGTCGAGAGTGAGTGATTCATTTTCATTTTCTATATGCTCTTGTACCCCGGTGAGGACCTAGATTGCTCGGTCTCTATTCTGATGTCTTGAGTTGGATGCATGAGTTGACTGTTTTGAGTAAGTGGTTGAATCAAGTCTAGGTTGGCCACGTGAACAGAAGGGAGACTCTTCCTTTACTCGATTTGCTGCACTCGAATGTCCTTTGGGTGGTTGTCCAGGTTGTTATTGAGGTTGTGCATGTATTGATGTTTTGAAACCAGTGCGATTCACGTGTTCTGTGCCTTTATGACTTGTCCCCAATGTTGGTTGATTGAAATATGTAAGCTTACCTAGTGTCTGACTTGGTTTGCTTGGGGACAAGCAAACGGTTAAGTGTGGGGGAGTTTGATAGACCGTCATTTACACATGTTTTTACCCTCATACTTACACCGTTTGAGGTGTTGATTCTCGTGTTTTAGGCCGATTTCACGCTAGGTTGTGCTTGTTTGTGTATTTCAGGTCCTAGTACGTGAATGAAGGCTTAGGAGCGAGTCTGGGGTCGATTGGACGAAGAACGGACGAAGGGCGAGCTTTTTGGGGAGTGCACGGGCAGACCAGGAGGCTGCACGGCCGTGCACTTGAGCCATTTGGCCGTGCACCTCATGTCGAGGCCATGCACGGGCAGGCTGAAGCTTGCACGGCCGTGCGCCTGGCCGTGCAAGGTGGATGAAGGCCGAATAATTGAACGGTGCGTTTTGAGGGTGCACGGCCAGAATGGTGTTGTGCACGGCCGTGCACCTGGCCGTGCAACTCGGGAAAGGTTTTAAAGCCTAATCGAGCCAAAAGGGGGAGGAATCGTGTTTTCAGAGCAAAAACAGAGCCCTAGAGAGAGAAAGTGCGAAGAACACATCCCTAGAAGCTGTCTTAGAGCTGGATTCATCGAATCGAGCCCTTGGAGATCGTCATAGGAGTGGAAATCATCGTCCCTGGAGCAGATTATCCTCATCGTTATGAGTATGACTAATCCGATTCTTGTTTTCTCTTCTCTCTCTATGGAGTAGAACCCTTCTCTCACTTGGGTATGAAGAACCTAGTTCCTTGTGTTAGGATTTGATTGTAATGACTTGGGATGATATTACTGTTTGATTTTAATCGAATGACGCATGTTTACTGAATTGATTTGAGTCTGATCAGCTTGTCTCAATTTCTGCTTCAACCTGAGATAGATAGAATCTGATTAGGTTGTTAGAGCCTCTTCATCTGTGTTCGTAGCCTCAGCTTTCTATCCCGGTGAAGACTAGTCGTCTGCCGGGTAGTTAGACTGAGAGGGCTTGGTCAGCTTAAGAGATTCCAAGCTACTGTCGGATCTTCCGCAGTCTAATCAACAGTAAATCAACCCAGGGAATTGCAATTGAACCTAACTAAGGGGCTAGGGGGACTCAATCCCGAGTGACTCTTACCTGCTTTTGAAAACCGAACCATTTCCTGCTTTCTTACTGCTTTTGTTTTAAACAACAATCACTCGAATTAGTTTGCTAGATAATAGAGAATCACGGAGTAAGCAGTAGATCTAGACCCCGGGTTGATAATTAAACTTGCCTGTTACTGCATTCCCGGACTGCGATTACACTTGGTCGCAGTTTGGTGTTGTGTTTTGGCGTGTCACATATGCTTCGTCAGGTGCCCCAAGTCCTCCGTGCGCTTCAGTGCACTGGACGCCCCCTCTTCCTCCTCCTCTCTGACCCTTCTCTTTCCACCCTGGGGGGGGGGGGGGGGGGCGCCGCTCCTTCCCCTTTCTTCAGCATCTCCACTTCCCTTCTGAGTGCCTCCAGCGCCTGGTCCTGTTCTCCGATTATGTGGAGCAGATGCTCCTTCGTGAGGGTGGCGCCCTCAGACTGGGCCGTCCCCTGCGCCTCGTCCTCAACCCCTGCATGCGCCTCTCCCGACAACACGGGCGCCTCTCGGGATGCTTCCGCGGCCGCTGACCCTCCTTCTCCCTCGACTCCTCCTGGCGCTTCCATGACTCCTTGCTCGCTTAGTAGTATGCGTATACTCGTCTCCCCCTTCCTGGCGCGCCAATTGTTCGTGCCCGGTAACTCTGTGCCCCGTGACTTCGCGCGCAATCCTCCGGTTTTTCTCCCCCTGCACGCAACACAACTAACTTGAGCCCAAGGCTGGGCTCGTTAGCACTCCAACGCCCAAGTCAGTCTCAATTTCTAGAGAGAGAAGTGAATAGTAATTCTAGAGAGAAGTTCTAACCTGAGTAAATGAGGTTCACCAACCCTCATATTTATACCTCGGGCCTGGCCGACCAACATCCCCGTCTCTCGCCTGTTGCCAGACCCGCATTAAATGCGCCGTACGACCAGGTCCCATGCGCCTCGACCACCTGACCCCGCACTCAGACGATTGAGGCGCATGACGTCAGATGGTCCCCCTTCCGCACCTTCTTACCCGTTGCGACCCTTTGTCATATGCGCCCCGTGTCAGAGTCTGGGCCCCACTTGGCCTGGTGCTCCTCTTTAATGAGTGGGCCGACTCCACTGCTGCCCCTTTGGGCCTAACGGGCTGGGCTCCCCTGCTTAGCCTAGCCGATCCAACTTCTCTCTCGGGCCTTGTAAGCCCGACCCTCTTGGGCCGCGGCTATGCCCCCAACAAGATCATTTAAGTAAATTAGGATCAGTAACAAATTGAGTCGGATGGAGGGTAAATTAGGTCAGTAACAACGTTTGAATTGATGATTTAAGAAAATAAGGATCAGTAACACTTCGAATAAGTAACGTCAACCGTAAATTATAAACTCACCAATACATTCAATCGAATTCATGAACCACCAAATCATGAATCCAACATATTTAACACTTTTAATTGCGCCAAGACAGAAACTCTCTCGTTTAGCGAGAGCTGAGAGGCGGCGGAAACCCTAGGGTTTTTCCAAGTTTTTTAGGTTTTGGGGTGAACATTGAGGCTTTCTTCCTCGTGTGTCAAGGAAATTCGAGTCTGAGAAGGAGTGGGATTACGCTTGGCGGTGATAGAGACCTATTTTAATACTTCGCAAACACAAAGAATACAATCAGAAGTAGAAACGTTCTGAAGAAATCTTGAGTTCTCCTGGAAAACCCTAGCTCAAGGCAACTACGAGCGTTTTGACAAGGGGTGATCTCGGGGAGGGTAGATCTTGAGTTTGGAGAGATCGATTACAACCTTTTGAGCTTTCACAGAATGGAAGCAAGAGAGGAAGCGATGAAGGACACATCGACAAGTAAAGAGCGAACAGAACCACTAGAGCTGGAGGCGCAACTCAATAACATAACACTGGAGGAGGATGATGAAGAACCCTTAGAGGTCGAAGACTCGGATGTCGATGTTCTTCGAATGGAAGCGGTACGCCGTCTGGGACTGATTGGGCGTCTGGTCTCTGAAAAGGAACCAAATATCAAGTCAATGAAGATTGCCCTAGCGAAAGCTTGGAAACTACGTAAGGGGTTTCAGATTACAGAGCTGGGAGACATGCTTTTTGCGTTTCAATTCCTCGATATGGATGACAGAAACAAAGTCTGTTTTGGTGGGCCTTGGCACTATGAAAACTCTCTCATAGTGTTCAAGATCAGTTCAACAATTCAAAAACCTAACCCTGAGGATCTACATATGATAGATCTATGGATCAGGATCCTAGGGTTCCCTGCCGAGCTAAGAACACAGCAGATGGCAGAGAAGATTGCTCAGAGATTTGGAGGTCTTGACTGGTTTGATAATGGCTCTAGCACTATGTGGGATGACTACATGCGACTCAGGGTGAACATCTCAATCAACAACCCACTAAAAAAGAAACTGAAGCTCAACATTGCAGGCAAGCTTGTGGAATTCCAAGTGAAATACGAGAAACTGCCTATGTTTTGCTACTCTTGTGGCAGAATAGGGCACCTAAAACTGAAATGCAAGGTTCAACCTAAGCCTGAAGTCGACCCCTATGGCTATGATCTAAGGGTGGCAGCTCCAGGGCCTAGGAATTGGCTCTCTTACACTGCTAAGAAGGAAGATGCAGAAGTTTGGGCGGCATTGAAACAAAAATTTGAAATGGGAAGTATTGGTTCTAACTCAGATCATGATATGGCATTGGAGCAGGAGGAAAATAGAGTGCAGGAGGAAGCTAAAAAACTGACACAACAAAGGGTGGAAAGCAAGAACCTCAACAAGCAGACCATACCAGATGAACCAATGACACAGAGACAGGACAAGCAGAACATGAAGGTCAACACAGTGCAAAACCAAGAGAAAGAAGTGAGGAAGCAGGTGGGGGCACTGCAGAAGTTTGTGATGGGAAGCGTGGAGGGGAAGGTACCTGGGAGGAATACTGGCAGGGTATGGCGTAGACAGGAAGCTGGACCAAGGCACCCTGGGGCTGGAGTTCACCTTACTCCACAAAAACGCCATGTTGCTGCAACGCAAGCAGAGTTACCTGAAGAACACGCAAAGGAGGAAGGAAATAAGAAAGCCAGGAAAATACAATTTCAGGGACAGGAGCAAGTGGAAAACCAACAAAACAACATGAATGTGGATGGCGGAGTGGCGGAGTCTGCACAAGAGCAGACCCGCCCAGCCCAATGAGTTACCTAAGCTACAATTGCCGGGGTTTGGGGAATCCCCTGGCAATTAAGAAGCTGGATCGGCTGATCCAGAGAGAAAACCCCAAGGTGGTTTTCATTATGGAGACCAGAAAGCAGGACAAGGAATGGGAGGAAGTGATCCAAAGATTTAAGGGTTATAAAGGCTTTGGAGTGGGCTCTCAGAGAAGGGCAAGAGGCTTATTAGCTCTATGGCAAGAGGAAATGCATGTAGAAGTAAAAGGGTTCGATGAGAACTATATAGACTTGAAGATTGAGGAGGAAGGAAACTCATGGAGACTCACAGGAGTCTATGGTTGGCCAGAGAGGGGAAACAAGCATAAGACATGGGAGCTTCTCAGATACCTGAAATCCCTCACAAATCTCCCCTGGACGTGCTGTGGGGACTTCAATCTAATTCAACATTATGCAGAAAAGAAAGGGAAACAGCCTGCAAATGGATATGAGATGGAGGGCTTCAATAAAGCTCTAGCAGATTGCCAATTGGAGGACTTAGGTTTCTATGGGAGACCTTACACTTGGGATAACAATCACAAAAATGATTCTTTCTTAGAAGAACGACTGGATAGAATGGTGGCTACTGAAGAGTGGAGGAGATTATTCCCTGAAGCTGGAGTTTATCACTTAAGGAGGTGTGGCTCGGACCACAACCCTGTTTTGTTAAAAACTAATGTGCTAGTGGAAGACGTGAAATGGGGTAACTACTTCAAGTTTGAAGCATTCTGGCAGGAGCATGAGGAATGTAAGCAAGTTATCCAAGGGGGATGGGAGTCGAGTGGAATGAACTCAATCATGGGAAAGATCAAAGTCTGTGAGGAGAAACTAAGAAGCTGGAGCAAACAGACTTTTGGCAATCTGAAATCGAGAAGAATCAAAGCAGAAAAAGCTCTGGAGAAGATTGATCGAATGGTAAAGACAGAGGCCATATTGGCCCAACGAAGAGCACTTGAAAATGAGTTGGAGGACATACTCATTCAGGAAGAATTAATCTGGAAACAGAGATCTAGAAATGAATGGCTGAAACATGGAGACAAAAATACTAAATTTTTTCATCGTCGAGCCTCGGAGAGAAGAGCAAAAACATGATAAGAAGGCTAAAGATGAGAATGGAAGAATCTGTGTGGGGCAAGAAGAGGTGTCTAGTTGCATAGTCAACTTTTTCAAAAAGTTGTACACTGCTGGGCCAAGAACAACCTCCAATACAGTGCTAGAAGCAGTGACTGCAAAGGTCACCACTGAGATGAATGCAGAGCTCCTAAAACCTTTAACGAGAGAAGAAATATGGGCTGCCCTGAAGAGCATGGGACCCTTAAAGGCCCCTGGGGCAGATGGGATGCCAGCTCTCTTTTTTCAGAGAAACTGGGATATAATGGGAGACTCAATCACTACTGAGCTTCAAGGTTTCTTTGAAGCTGGCAATTTCCCAGAGGAGCTAACCCACACACCTGATAGCTCTCATTCCTAAGAAGAAGAACCCTCACTCCCCTGTGGACTTTCGTCCCATCAGTTTGTGCAAAGTGCTCTACAAAATCTTCTCAAAGGTACTATCAAACAGACTGAAAGGGATCCTAAATGAGGTAATTGTCCAAAACCAGAGTGCTTTTGTACCAGGAAGGTTGATTACAGACAATGTGATGATTGCATTTGAATGTTTCCACTCAATGAATGCAAGAAAATCAGGCAGGAAGGCTTTATGGCAGCAAAACTAGATATTGCTAAAGCCTATGATAGGGTGGAGTGGGATTTTCTCGAAGCTATAATGTTGAAAATGGGATTTGATAGTAGATGGGTGCAAATGGTGATGTGGTGTGTTAAAACAGTGTCCTTTTCCACTCTGGTGAATGGACATCAAACTGAAAATTTCTGTCCCAGCAGGGGACTCAGGCAAGGGGACCCAATTTCCCCATATTTGTTCCTATTTGTGGTGGAAGGTGGAAGGAATTCAAGTGAAGAGGAATGCTCCTCAAATCACTCATTTACTGTTTGCTGATGACAGTATAATGTTCACTAGGGCCACCAGAGAACAATGTGAACAGCTAAAATCCATACTTCAGAGTTATGAAGAAGAGTCTGGACAACAGGTCAACCTAAACAAGTCCGAGTTATCTTTTAGTCCCAATGTCAGACAAGGATTGAGGAGGGAGTTAGCTGGGAAACTGAATATGAGAGTGGTGGACTATCACCAAAAATACTTGGGACTGCCCACCAACATAGGCAGGTCAAAAAAACAGGCGTTTGGCTATCTGGTGGATAAAGTTAGAGCTAAAGTGAAAACATGGAAAGAGAGACTCCTTTCAGTGGCAGGGAAGGAAGTTTTGATCAAATCAGTGGCTCAATCCCAACTGATATATGCTATGTCAGTTTTCAAGATTCCAACCAACATTCTAAAGGAAACAAAACGAGCCATTACTCAATTCTAGTGGGGTCAGCAGAAGGAAGAAGGCAGAACTCACTGGTTAAGCTGGAAGGAATTGTGCAAATCAAAGAAACAAGGGGAATGGGCTTCAAGGACCTACAAAGTTTCAACCTTGCCTTCTGGGCAAACAACTATGGAGATTAGTCCAATTACCTAATTCACTAGTGGCACGAGTGATGAGGGCTAAATATTTTAAGAGAGGTGACCCTCTGGAGGCTGAAGTAGGGAGGAACCCTAGTTGGATATGGAGAGGCTTAATGGCTTCAAAGACCCTAGTGCAGAAAGGAGCGAGGTGGAGAGTAGGTGATGGAACCAAAATCGACATATGGCTGGATAAGTGGCTACCCTCAAGCGAGAATTTTAAAGTGACCTCCCCTACAGTCAATTGGGGTACGTCAACTTCAGTAGCAGAACTGATCGATCCTGAGACTAGAAGCTGGCGGACAGATTTCATTCAAGCTCATTTTAACTCTCTGGACTGCTCCAACATTTTTAAAACCCCCATTTCAAGACAACCAACAGAGGACAGAAGGATTTGGGGATATGAAAGAACAGGGGAGTACACCGTGAAATCGGCATAC